ACTTTCAGAAGTGACATGAACCTCTATCATCAGGGCATCACAGGGCTGTGAGTTAGCAAAGGGGTAAGTGCTCCCAGTCCCTCTACCATCACCCCTGCAGCTGGAGCAGCACAAAACCACCTAAATCCATACAATTCACATCTTCAGCATCCCCCCATGATGGCCAGTCAGCTCAGGGGCAGATGGCCACCACCGTTAGCCTTGGCCTCGTCTTCCAGCAGGCACAGGAGGGAATTAGGAAGATCTGGTGAGCTCCAGGGCTGATGTAAGCAGGAGGGACTGGCTTTGTTCTCCCTGCTGCACACAGTCTGCATGTGCTTGGAAGATGGGAACAATCCTCCTCGGGGGAGAAATAATGCAGAAACCACCCAACTGTCTGAATCCTCAGAATATAATTATATGAAGAGATTGAAATGACAAGTTCACTTTTGAAGGTTTTGTTCTCTGTGACAAGGCTGAAGTTATCTCCTCTGCCGAAACGCAGAAAAACAGAATTGTAATGGCAATTAATTTACATTCAAATAGCTCTTTTCATCCACCTGGATCCTGCAGAGCCCTGAACTTTGCTAGCTGAGCACACAGAACAGGGAATGGGACTCATTCATCCCATGGAGACGCAGGCAGTCAGTGGCAGGAGCCGAGGCGGCTCTCGGGAATCCGAACGAACGGAGATGTTATTGATCATCTCTGTGAAGAGCCAGCGTGTCCGTTTCCTTTGGCATCAGCTGTGGATAACACCCATCTCCATACGCTCAGTGTGTAAGTCACAGCTCATCAGGAGTGTGGCCTGGGTTGTGCCCTCAGATCTGTCCTGGAGTCACTGGCTGCCTCCAGGTGAGACATTTGTGCTGCCTGATTTTTGCTGACATTTGTGCTGACGGGTCTCCTGCGGGAGGCCCTTGGGAAGAACAAGGGAACAAGTACGATCTCCCTCTTCTCTGACTTTTCGGCATCACCCAGATCGAGATCAGTCCCTGGGGATTTACTGCAGAGACATTCCTCTGGAGGGGGAGGAGAGAGCAGGCCTGGGGCAGCGGGCTGCCTTCAAGTGCCTTCAAGGGGCAGGATGGAGCAGAGCAAGGAGCCACTCCAGGGCATTCCCTGCACGTGGTTAGGAAAATCAGAGCTGGGGAAACACTGAGGTGCAGGTCCAAGCCTGTCTGAGGCCATTCCTGATCCATCTGCCAGCAGCATCCCCAGACCCATGGGTCTGCCCCCACAGCTGGATCAGTAGGGTGCCCACCGAGGTTTGAGGGGTTGGGTCCAACTCTGCGTCAGCCACGGCAGTAAATCAGAAGGAAGCACCCCTGGACATCCATAGCAATGAGCTGTTCCAAGGATTCACATGCCCTTCATCCTACATGTCTATCCACACAGTCAGGGAAGGTGGTGAAGTCAGAGCATCTGGGACACAGAAGGATCCCATCCAACGTCTCCAGCTGTATCTCACCAAGCTGTGCTTGGAAGTGGGTGCAGGAGTGAATGGATCCCAGTGCAGGGACACTCATGGCCTTAGCCTGGAGTATCCAGACTGTGGCTCAGTCTCCTCCAGCAGAGCCGGTGTCACCATGTGGCCATGCTGTTTCTTGGGGTAGTTTTAAAGGGAGTTGCCTGGGACAAGGTTTACAGGTGTTCCCAGCTTCCATCAGCAGCCTCTCCTCTTCTCTGAGCTCCTGGCTTTGCTCCTGGTGACTCCCTCCCCAGCCAGCCTTACATGCTGCTTCTCCTTCTCCTTTTTGTCAATTCCTATGCTCTGAGTACAGGGTCTTACATGAATCCCCTCCTGCCAATCACAAGGAGTTATAACCAGCTCTTTTCAGATCATTACAGAGTTCATTTCTCCACAAGAAAGAGATGCCCTGAATTGCTTCCTCACACATGTACGTATTTTTAATCTGCTGCTTTGTTTTGTGCAGAGGGAGACTCAGGCATTGGATGGCTGCCCTGGCATAGCCTGCTGCCAAATGCCAAAAATAGCAAAAAAAATAAAATCTGTTCTCCCTTATCGGCCTCAAATCCACTGAGAATGGGGGAAAAGCATTGAGGTGCATCTGCCATGACCATCCCTGCTGGTGGAGTGGCCAAGGAGAGAAAAGCATCTCACCCAGAGACAGTGCTGCCGTGGGGGGGTGGGGTCTGCTTCCACACCTGGTGTTACCTGCTGCATTCTCTCCCTGGGGCTCGGCCTGAAGTACCTCCTGTGCCTGGCTGGGACAGGGTCCTGTCCCACTCAGATGTGATGGAGGAAAAAACAGAGGGGAAAAACCAAAAAAAATGAGGCAACATTGAAAAAAGTTACAACCACCCACAAAATGGGGTTCTTATCTCTAGTTTCTCCCTCTCTGCTACTGGGCAGCAAAACTCTACGCAAATTATCAGAAACCTTTAGCTGAGTTTTCCACAGAGCTGCTCCCACTGTTTTCCCAGAGAGATTTTCAGACAGACACCAAACCCACACTAGGGACCAGCCAGCCTGTGCAATATTTGGCTGAGCATTTTGCTGCCACTACCACCCTGCTAAACTGAAATGCTGCCTTGGATTAACAAAAAGCAACTGGACATGCTAATGGGAGAAAACTCCACGAAACTCCCTCCTGCCCCTGCACCCAGGATCATGTCCTGGCCCAGGAAAGCCTCTCCCTCTGCCCTCAGCCCGGGGCGAGCCACCTCCAGGCACTCCTTGTCTTTATCGCCAGGTTAATTAGCACTTCAGTTTCTGCTTTGCAATTAACCTACTTTAAACAAGGCAAAACAGATGCCTTGGAGAGGATCTGGGACACCCAGGAGTGGACAGAAACCAGCCCAAGCTGAGACAGGGATCAGATCAGATCAGATCTGTGGCCGCAGGAGAGCGATGGGCCGTGGGGGTTCTGCTGCCCAACCCCAGCCCCAGCGTTGTGGCTGCCACAGGGTGGGTCTGGTGTTCCTCTTTGTCTTTCCTGCTTCCTATGAACATATTAGAAACCAGTGACCCAGGTGCACATCTTTCTGAAATCTTCAGCTTGCAGCTTTATTTTGTGATGGGCCTGTACAGTAAAAACCACATTAGTTGCTCCCTGTGGGTAGATAAAGGCTTGGTTTATATCCTAAATAAAGTTGGGAAATCACTGGGATATTTTTGGTTCAGTATCTGAACAGCCAAACAAAATTTTAAAAACCAAAAAAAATTAAAATAGCAAAAATTATAGGCTTTGAAAAAATCTGACTTGGGCTGGGAGATGTGAAAGGGCACAAAAGTGGGAGGAAAGGGTGAAAGAGGAGGTGAAGAACTGAAGGTTGTGAGTGTGCTTAGAGGAAAAAAGAGCCCATCCATCCAACCATCCAGCCATCCATCCAAGTCCTGTCAGCCAGCCACAGGACACAAACACACCTCTCCCACCTGGTTTTCGGTTATTTATCCCAGTCTGCCCTCCTGTCTCATCCTTTTGCTTACTGAAGAAAGAATATTCCAGGCTCTGAGCACCCCGTTGTTGGCTCCCTGTTCCCACTTAGCACCAGGCATGCATTTCATTGCAGAGTTTCTCTTATTTTTAATATATTTCCATAACTCGTTCTTGCTGCCTTTAATGTTTTGCTGTATCCTGCCATTCCCTCGCATCCCGGACGCTGGTGCTGCTCCTTCCCAAGCCCTGTTCTCACACTTTGCAGGAGTCCTGTTTGTTTTCTGGTCGCTCCTGAGGCAAACCCAAGGTCTGTGCTCCTAATCCTTGTGTAACACCAGCAAGTCTGTCCCTGAGTGGTTCTGAAGGAGAACTGCCCACCCATGTCTTCTATCACCAGGATCTGTTTTTCTCATGGGAAAGCATGTACGTCCAGGAATGTGTTTGCAGGGAGTTTCCATGGCCCTGGCACGGATACAGTCCCTGTTTTCCATAGGAGCTTGGATCTGATGGAGAACAATGCTGGCCTGAGCCTCACTTTCCCCACTCAGTGTCACTGAGCCGAGCACATGTGTTTACTATGAACACAAATTAACAGGCAAGATGAGTTAATTAGAACTAAACATTAAACTAATTGCTTCCCCTTTCAAAGGCTTTGAAGTAAAAGCAGTACATGAAATTTTTCTCTTCTTGATTCCTTTTTCCTACCAAGCATCAGTGTTTGGGAATGCTGGAAGATGTCTTCTTCCCAAAACCTAAACAATTTCCATGGGAAATTCAACCTTTTCCACACTTCAGGAAACTAATGTTGAATTTCTCTCTTCCACCTTCCTGACCTCTCAAAAGTGGCTGAGGGGGAGGGAGCTCTACAGGAGTCCTACCTGAACTTTGGGCACTGGCAGAGGTGGGTTTGGGGAAATCCACAGGAAAAGGCAGGAAAAGCCAGAAAGTGTCACTGATACAGAAGTGCCATCTCCCATGGGATTGGTGGGATGGGGTGACTATGGCTTGTAATTATATTTTGGTGAGTCAAAATGGTAAAGTTCTCTCATCTTCTGGTTTTGGTGTATCTCCTCTTTCTCATATTACACTGCAGCAAGGATAACATTAAGCCACCCCTTACTGTAACCCTGGTAAAGGCTGAAATAACACCACAGTCCCATGTGTTAAAGGGTGAGAGAACTATGTGAGAGCAGAACCTGCACTCACCTTGCTCTGCTCCATTATCCTGGCAGGTGACAGCCACCAGGTCAGTTGGATGATGGCTGCGAGCTCCAGCCCTTCTAAAATAGAAATACTTGGGTCATTAAAACAGACATTGTTAGGAGACCTTATAGCAGGCAGTAAGATCCCATGGGAAGACTAGTTTAAGGCCTTAACTGTTTCTTAATATTCTTAAACAAGTCCAGCCTGCTTTTCATCTTGATACAAACTTAGCATAAGTATTTGGGAGCTTGTCTTCATTAGTAAAACCCATCAAGAAAGGATGTGGGTAGTTAATCCCAACAGATGCATACTTAAGCCTTAGACCTCTACATTTTTTCCCCAGTAATCACAAATGCTTTTGGGGAATTCTGTCTGTGTCAAACAAACTGCAGGGGCTGTTTCTCTCCCCCCCAGGTGCCACGAGCCAGGGCCCTGTACACCTACCGTGGGCACAACCCCGGGGAGCTGCGGTTCAACAAGGGGGACATCATCGTGCTGCTCCGGCAGCTGGACGAGAACTGGTACCTGGGGGAGGTCAACGGGATCAGCGGTGTTTTCCCAGCCAGCTCTGTGCAAGTCATCAAGCACCTGCCCCTGCCCCAGCCCCTCGACAGGGCCCTCTACAACCTCGACCTGCGGAGCCGGGACAAGGCGGAAAACAAGGACAGCCTGACCTTCCATAAGGTACCACCCGCGGCACCGGGACACAGCTCCCCTGCAGTGCACGGTGCTCTGCCACTCCCCACATCCTTGGGAGCTCCTTTTGGGTATCAGGACAGTTCCCAAGTCCCCTCAGACACTGCTGCCAGCAGTTAAACACCCCCCAATGCCCCACAGGCACACAGAGGAACAAGGGGCACCCAGAGAGGGATGCAGGTGCCCCCCAGCTCAGCCAAGGCCAGCTCAGCGTGTCGCAGGCGGCATTCCCAGTGCTCCCAGTGCTGCAGCTCTGGAGGCCATCCAGCCCCTCCGCTCCCTGACAGAATTTTTTTAGCACTGGTCTAGACATTAATTGTGTTGTGCAGCTTAGCTTGAGATGCAGAGTGTAAATGGCACCGGCACCAATTCCTAGAAATAAAATTAATACTTGTAATGCCCATAATTACAGCAAGCTCTGCTTTGTGGCTGTTCTTATAGGAGGACATGAGCAAAACACCTTATTTGAAGCTCTAATAGATTTTGTAAAATGTCTTTTCATTTAATGAAATCATTTTAGCTTCAGTAATGACTTATTTAAGTCTGGCGTTAACAGACACAAGTTAGTCAGGGACACATAGACCCACCAAGGAATTAGAAATTAATTCTAGAGAAGGCAAAGGTAGGACTGCTGGTGAGAGACACGAGGCTTCTCTTGGCTCTGACACGCAGTTTGTGCTCCCTTTTTTCGCATCTCCTGGTATTTGGAGAGGCAGAAGAATGTTTCCAGTTCAGGCTAGAGCTTGATCACAGAGAGAAATGACAGGATGGCCATGGCACACATGTACATACGCACACACTGTGGGCTTTAAACTTAGTTTGGAGAGGGAAAATGTGGAAACAACTCCTGCTGTAAAATGACAAAGCCTGGGAGCCGTGTGCACCTCTCCTGCCTCAGTCTCCTGTCCATCCCTGGCGTCGGGCACGTTGCCTCCCACGAGTGGGTGAGAATCTCCAAGTTTTGCAATTCGTCAATGTCAGCAGTAAATCATGATTAATTCCTCTGGCACCCATCGTGGTGAAAAACACTGTCACCACATGCCCTTTGCTATTAACACCCTGATCAGCAGTTTCCAAGAAATACTGTGTGAATGCTGCCCATATGCAAACTCGGGGCTTGCCTCTCCCTCATTAACCCCAATGCTTAACAAGCCAGGATTTTTTCAATGGAAGCAGCATCAAGCCATGAATGTTCAGGCTGAGGGAGATGGAATTGGGTGGATCTAATGCTGCTGGGAAAGTCACCACCAGTGATGGCCTCTCTGAGCCCGTGCCCTGCCTTCAGCGGCAGGGCTTGGGTGTCCTGCTGCAAGATGCACCCATGTGTGCCAACACAGATGGGGAAAGGGAGATGTATCCAAATGTCCCTTCTAATTCAGAGTTAGAGTTATTAAGCACTGTGAAAGAGCCAGTCAGCTCTCCCTGCACCTCTACCAGCCAAAGCCTTGGACAAGGAACGTATCAGGGGGAGCACTGAACCTCAATAAACCCTTGTCTCAGCAACAAGTTTTTTAAACGAATTTAATTTTGCTGTCAGCTTCACATCAGGAATTTTACACCTAGGATTTGTCATTGATGACAGATGAGGAAAATGACTGAGCCTCAAGGTTTTAAAGATCACCCGTATCGTCACCTGAACCCTGCCTGCAGCTCTGCTGCCAGATTGGAAAGGGGAAACGGAGCAGTCGGGGGCTGTGCCAGATGTAACTTCTGAAACCACATCACATCTCCCTTTGTCTCCCCCAGCCAAACACCACCGCCCGGCAGCTCCTGCAGACCTCCAAAACCCACTGGTCCCCTCAGTTTAAAAGCGCGTCCCTGCGAACGGTGTCTCCCAAGGCGAAGGGCGCGGATTTGCCGGCTTTCCCCAAGGTGCCCGACTCCAGGAGGAAGAGCCTGCGGCAGTTCTCCATCACCACAGCCCTCAACACCCTCAACCGGATGGTCCACGCGCCTGCCGAGCGCCCAGCCCTGGAGATCAGCTCCCCTGTGCTCATCAGCTCCAGCAACCCCACCGTGGCCACCCAGAACAGCGAGAAAGCCGAGTTCCCCTACAGCACCCCTGTCCAGGTAAGGAAGTGGCAATGCCAGTCTGCATCCTAAAGCTGGGACCATCCTGTCTGGGGACTGAGACATAAATGTAGACCAACCTTTTGGACTGTATCCACTCTGTTTTAGGAGGCAGAAGAGTCTCATTCCTTCTTCCTGCTCTGACTAAAGATCTGAGTCCAGAATCTTCACAGATCATCTGAAACGGGAGAAAAAGGGGTTTCTTTAGATTTATGTGACATCTTTCATAATCAAGGTTGTTCCAACATTTTATAAAGCAATCACTCAGCCCCTGGCAGTTCACATCTGGACAATAACACCCAGCAGGCATTCTGTACTGAGCACCAGCCTGCAAAGAGCCAGCATGTGAGATCCTGGGTTGTGGAGGGGAAATGAAGCCTTACAGAGTTCCATAACTCAATTGAAACAGTATCATGTCTCACACCCCCAATGGGATCTTACCCAAAATGTTTGAACTACTGCCAACAGCAGAAGCAAGAAAGGGAACATTTATGGTTTGGCCTTAGAAGAGTTGGGATTTCCTTGTTTCCAAGCAGCAGTGTTGCTCCCAGAGGTCTGTGGCGGGGGGGGGGGGTGGGGGGGGATCTGTGCTGTTCCTGAGGCTGCACAGGATGCAGCTTTCTCTTTCCACCTCTGAGTTTGGCCTGCAATGACTGAGCTGCAAAGCTGAGATTCCTTTGCAAGCTCAGGTGGGCACTGTGAGGGTACCTGAGAGGCCGAGGGGACAGGAGACTGCACCCGGGCACAGCCAGCGACAGCGCACGGCTGGAGAAGCGAAGGGGGAGATGCTGCGCTGGGAGGTTGTCGAGCTCCCCACAGCACCACCTGCCTGCCTGGCACTCCCACCACCACCGAGCGGTCGGACTCCTTTCAGCCCATAAAAGGGAATAACCGGCACTGCCCCAGCCTTCCTCCTCCAGCTCTTCCTTCCCCTTGGCGGTGCCAAGCCGGGCTCAGACGGAGCCAGAACCAGTTTGCAGGGCTGTGGCCGCCGTGTCTGTGCATGTGCCTGTTGCGCAAGCGGCTGCGGGGTGAGGGCAGCGGGGCGCCCGCCCGCTCCACCACGGGAATCTCTTCCTAGTCGCAACTGAGCTTATTCCCTGGACCTGGCGCTCCCTGGGCCAGGGAACGTCTGTCTGAGAGCTGCTGTTCCCCTTTGCCGCTCGGTGAAGGGAACTGATAAACCCCACAGCTGCCCTTCGCTTTTCTGTGCACTGAGTGATGTGGAACCTGCAGGACCCAACATCCAGCAGAGCACTGAGAGCTCCCATGGCCCCCCTGATGAGATGAGGAAAGCCTCCCTCCCCACAAGGCAGTGCATGGACACTCTCGGCAGGGACTTGCCTGTGTCAGCAGTGCTGGGAATCACGATGATGACACACTAGAACGGGAGATGGAGTAAGAGAGGGATTTCAGGAGAGGCAGGGAGTTAAACCCTTTGTACTTACAAGGTCTCGCAAGGTACTTGCAGGAGATCAGCAAAAGCAAATGCTGAAACCAGTTATACATGGCTGGAAAATATTTCATCCAGTCCTTTTTCCTCTCTGTTGCAAACGCAAAGGCAGCTTTGAGGAGGCTAAAGGACAGCTGCTCCCAGGCAGAGGGGAACATAGAGATGAAAAACGTGGGGCTTTCCAGCCAAAAGAGGACACTTCAACACAGTTCCATCAGGAATACCCATAAAAGGCTGTAATTTTTCTCCAATGCAGGAAAAACAAACTCTGAATCCCAAAATTTCAAACCTTTTGATTATGATAATTATTAAAGTAGAATTATAGTTTCCAATCCACTTTATGAACACAACTGGTCTGACCCTGCCTGGACTAGCAAATGAGGAATGCAGAGATGGTTTGAAGCTGACCTGCCACTCCAGGTCCGAGACAGAAGCTGGAATTGCTGGGGTGTTTTAATTAACTTAATTTACTGGAGAGCACCAGAGCTGGTGAGTCACTTTTCTTTTTCCCTAGGTCCTTGCCAAGCCAGTGCTCCAGCACCACGTTACAGACTTGACCACTAGAAATTAGATTTGAAATGAACATGAGATTAAAGCCCCAGTTTGCATCATTATAGAGCCTGTGGTCGTTGCTGGAGAGCACGACTGGCAGCCACATCCCAGCCCAGAGACGTTCCACTGCTCTGAGCTTCCCGGGACATTGCTGCCGCTGCCCTGCCTTGCTGGGAGCTCTGTTCCTCCCGACAGCGGCCACACTCCTGCCACCACACAGCACAGCACAGCTGTGGCACAGCTTGGCACAGCCACAGCACAGTCATGGCACAGCCATGGCCCAGCACAGACACGCCAGCACCATGGCTGTCGCCTTCCAGCGTGCAAAGCGATGGATTCCAAACGGGAATGAGCTGTTGCCGGCAGCAGTTCACCCCAGGGCATGTTTTGTGCTGCAGAAGGGACAGCTCAGCAGAAGAGCATCCCAAGGATGCCAGGCTGCCCACTGCCATCCTCCCTCCACACAGCAGCATCTCCTGTGTGGAGAGGCTGGAGCAGCACCGAGTGCTCCCTCATCACCCCCACCCCGAGGGCTGCACCACTTGCAACCAGAAGAGCAAAGGCAGAAGCTAAAGGGATGAGTTCAAGTGGCCCTGGTTGGCACAGACCCACAGGTTCAGTAGCTGGGACCTTCCTGGGCTCCCTGCAGAGCCCAGTTAGCACAAGGAACACAAAACCAAACTCAGAAAAAGAATGGAAACAGCCCACAGGCAGGTTCTGGTTTGGGGGTGCTCTCCAGACCCTCAGCAGGATGCCAGGTAGAGGACCCCCAACAGCTCACACCTCACCTCAGAGACCACCTCAGCGTGGGGGTGTCACCCAAACTTCAAGACAAGGGGGGACAGGGCATGGGAACAGCCCAGCACACTGCCCATGGCCTCACCAGCATGACAGGGACTCTTAGCAGGTGACAGCAGCTCTGGCACAGCACGTGTGAGGTACAGTTACCTCAGTAGCAGAAACGGGACTGCAGTTCCTCCCTGGAACACCAAAGATCCTATGAGAGCCCAGAGAGGACATTATGGTGGCTGGTACCACTCTGCAGATGCAGAATGACAGTGGGGAAGGGCCCACCCCAGCCACACACAACCCTGAGCGAGGGGTCTCTGCCCATGTGGCCAACAGCTGCTCCCTGCCTGCCCTGCACACAGACCTGTGGGGCTGCTGGGACACCACAGACGTGGTAAATGGCTTTATAATGGCCAATCTTTGCGAGCGAAGATTTGGGAAAGGTCATTAGCCCTTCGAGCCTGCGCAGTGGATTTTTTAGGTGAGACACAGCGTGCGCTGAACTGAGCCCACCCTTTAATCCTGAGGTTCATCTGCCGGGGCCAAGCACACTTGGACAGTGGCAGTGAGGGTCTCAGAACGTAGGTTTGTTTAGAGTGACCTTCTCTTAGATGGATTGCCTCACAGGGCTGACGAGCTCCATCTGCCCGGGGGGCCGGGAATCGAACCCGGGTCGCAGCGGTGAGAGTCCTGCACCCTAACCACTAGACCACCAGAGGCCCCTAAATGGCTTTAATCATAGTCATTAAAGACCACTGGGGCAAGGACTGTATTACTTTAGGGTTCAATAATTCCAGCTGGAGCTAAATAAACAAGTGAAACGGCAGTGATCACACCAGTCCTCACCTCACGCAACGGTCTCCTCCTGGTTCAAAGCCTGGGCTTGAAATGCCATTTTCCCAAACACCTTTTAGTTCCTGAAGCAGCACCAGAGACCATGAACGGATCAAAGGCACTCGTCTTGCTCAGAGCCGAGCAAAGAGGGATGAGAGAATACCAAATGCAAGGAGAGGTGAAGGAGGGTCTCCCCTCTCAAGTGGATCTCCCATCTATGGGATTACCAATAGATACAGGTTTAGGGCTTACCTGTGACTCTTGGAAGTCACGGCTGTTGGGTTAAGGTTATCCTGTTCCATCACTGCTTCCAGAGCCTCCCCCCACCCTAGCTTTTCTGCCCCAACAGGCTCTGTTCTTAAAGGATGGGGTGAGCACCATCAGTCCAACCGAGCTGTGCCCTGGCAAGTGTCTTCATGTGGGAGGACCATGAGTCAAGCTAGCTGAGGGAGCTGGGGGGGCTCACCCTGGGGAAAAGGAGTCCTTATTACTCTCTACAACTGCCTGAAAGGAGGTTGTAGCCAGGTGGGGATTGGGCTTTTCTCTCAGGCAAATAGTGACAGCACAAGAGGAAATGGCCTCAAGCTGTCCCCAGGAGGGTTCAGGTTGGACATCAGGAGGAATTTTTTCACTGAAAGGGTTGTGAGGCATTGGAATGGCCTGCCCAGGGAGGTGGTGGATTCACCATCCCTGAAGGTGTTCAAGAAATGACTGGATGTGCAATTCAGTGCTCTGGTCTGGTTGACAAGGTAGGGATCAGTCAGAGGTTGGACTCGATGATCTTGGAGGTCTTTTCTAACCCCAGTGATTCTGGGATTCTTTATCTTCCTCTCACTGCCTGGTCTTTTTTTAAGTCAAATGCTGCAAATTTCTATTTCTTGAAACGTCTTTGATGGTTTCTTTGAAGGTTGGGTAAAGCCAGTCAGATGTTTTTAGTTGCTCCTCCGGTGTCTTAAAAGAAGCCGATAACCAGATTAATACCTTGTTTTCTTTGATTTTTTTCTCCCATAGGTCAGCACCTCTTACTACCCTGCACCAGGACCTCTGGGGCCCTCAGCAGCCATCATCACCCTTCCCCACCTGCAGCACCACGTGCCAGCTTACCTGTACGTAAGGAAGCTGAAATACTTCTGGGGGAAGGGGGTTGTAGTTTCCTGTACCTTCTCCCTCAGCTTGCTCCTGCCAGCCAGGAGGTGCAGGCAGACTGGAGCACAGCTCAGATCCAAATGCAGATCCACCTAGGAATGTACCTGGCTGGTCTTAGCAGGGGGTGGCAGAGACCTGTTGTCACAGCTGAGTTGTTCTATTCCCAGCAGGCGAACCGTCCCTGCCCCTTACTCCTTCACTGCAGTATTTATGGACAAACAGTTCTGCCTGTTTGTCAACAATACACTTTAAATTTTTTTAAGAGTGAAGAAACTAACCACTCCTCAAGTGCCTCTAGTTATTTATTTTAAAACCTTCATGGCCACTGGTGTTTTGAACGATCCAATTTTTGAAAACTTTCCCAGAGTTAAAATTTGTGGACAACACGCTGTGATGATTTGTTTTCCTCAAGACAAGATTTACCAGCCTGGCGCTGTAGTAATGGACCTAAAATAAAAACAGCATCACAACACACTGTTTACCCAGCACTCAGTACCCACAGTGCCAAGCCAGGCTGTGGGAACATTGGTGCCCACAAGCAGCACCCACAGCTCGGGCACCTACACACACCATCGTAGGTCAGCCAAGATTCCTGCACACACTTAATGCCAAGGACAGGAAAACTCCTAAGACATTAAAATAATTTGCAGAATGAGGAAGGTATTAGAGGGTCCCACCAGCTGCCTGGTTTGCAGCTCCTTTCCAACCCTACAGTATCAGACCAGCACCTGCAGGCCCTCCCTTTGAGGTGACTCCTGTACAGCAATGAGCCACTGCAGAATGAGAACACCCTGACCCACCTGGGCTGTGCCAGTCCCCAGGGGAGCAGCCCCTCACACAGATTGGCCCTGCAGGTTCTGGGATAGCCCCTGACTTTCCAGACAACTAGTCTGTTGTTTCTATTTTGTAAATAACACCCAGTAATTGCTGTATCGGGCTGTAACTCATTGATACTTGGGAGCAGATCACATTCCCTTTGAAAAAAAACAACAGTGCAATTAAGTGTGTTACACTGGAGACAAAATAAAGTTCTTTAAAGAACAAATAGGAGGCAGTTTTGAAATATACACCATCTTCTTCTACTGCTGTTACACATGGGTCAGTCAGACCCCAGAGCTCCAGGATGCTCCAGCCACCCTGCACGGGGGCAGTTCTGCATTCCCTTACATCCTCTTTCCCCAGGTGTGTGGCTCTCCACTCCTATGTGCCTCATGGACCAGATGAGCTGGAGCTGCAGAAGGGAGAAGGGGTCCGTGTCTTTGGGAAGGACCATGATGGCTGGTTAAGAGGAATGTCTCTCGTCACGGGCAGAGTCGGCGTCTTCCCCAGCAACTATGTGGCTCCCCTCTTCAGGTCTGCTTTTTCTCACATGAAACAAAAACACTTGGAGAGGGAAGAGGGTGGTCCCTCACCAGGCAGGATGGCACCCAGCAGCTCTCACCCTTCTTTTCCTTTTCCAACAGGAAATCTAGTCTCACTGACTCAAAAATGCCTTCTCTGTACACTTCATGGACACTGTCGACCTCCTCGCTCTCCTCCCAAGGGAGCATCTCCGAAAATGGCCCGAGGCAAAGCAGAATCCTGAAGCCAGTGCTGCTGCCCATCCCTATCCCCTCTCCGGGGAGGAGCACGGTGGGACCGGCGCCGCTGCGGCGTGGCCGCGGCAGCGCCAGGAAGAGTAAGTGACTGGGAGGGCTCTGGGAGGGAGAGTGGACACATTTCCCCAAAACCACACCAGCTGCTGCGGTTCATGGTTCCACACCCCTGCTTGGCCCCACTCTGGCTGCTTTGGGAATTCCAGGGTGTTTGCCTCACCATGGAAAAACTCCTTGCAAAGGTTTATGCAGAGCTCAGTGGTTATATCCTTTCCAAGGAGGCTGCAAGATTTATCGTCAGCCCATGCACACTGTTTTAAAATACATTTCCAGGAGTGTGTGAGGAACCAAGTGGTGCATTCCTAGCACTGGCAGTATTGCTGGAGGCAGGCAGTGCCCTGGCAGGGGACACTGTCTGTGGTTTTAGACTCGAAATTGGTCGAATTGCTGCCTGCTAGTCCCGATGCCTGGGGGAGGGCATGTGGCAATCCCTGGGAGCTACGGCCCCACAGCATCCTGTGAACATGGCTGTTCGTGCACAGCTGTGACCACGGCTCACTCTGCCCCTTTGCTCTCTCTGTGCCATTTTGGATTTCTGCTGACTTTCTTTATCCATCGCTCCTTGCTCCCCAGATGGATCCCTGCAGAGGCCGGGGCAGGCAGGGACCCCCGTGCAGATCACGGGCTCCCTCAGGCGTCCTTCCGCGGCTGCGGGGCGACCTCAGCAGTTCCAGATTTACCCACACATCAGCTCCCCGTCACACAGTGTCCCTCCCGGAGCCGGCATGGATGAGGCAACGAGGCCAAACTTCTCCTACGAGGCTTCACCGGCGCTTGTGGTCAGGGGAGGGGAGAGTCGAACCCCCTCTGTGTGCAGCTCAGTGATCCTGGATGCCAAAGACCCTCCAGTGAAGAGTGAGGCAGCTCCAAAGCCGCCTGCGTCAGCCCCGCCGTCCATCCTGGTGAAACCAGAGACCTGCCGCAACAGCGCCGAGAAGGTACGGCCAGTGCTTCCTGGTGCTCCAGAGGGTCCCCCTCCCCTCGGAACCAGCAGTGTCAGCCAATACTGACCAGGGCCAAATCCCCTGAGGGCTTTGCTCCATCCTCACCAGGTTTTCTTCCAATAGAAATCACTGGGATTGGCACCTGCATTCAGAAATCAGGTATTTGTGTTGCTGACACTGCTATCTAGATTAAGCCCTACAGAAAGGCAGGGACTTTGTCCCTGTCACCAAGTTCAGTCACAAGCAAATATTGAGACCTTTCTGAGGTCTTAAATCAGAAAAGAATCCTATCGAAGTCTCCAAGAGTTTGGGAGGGAATGGGCAAATGCCACAGACCTGGTGTCAGGTCTTATGTCAGGCAGACCTTTGCAGATGTGCCCCATCTCCCTCATGTCGGTTGGGCTGAGCTATTTGGAATGGGAATTTCTTTCCCCTCTGGCAGACAGAGAGAAATTTCATAAAAGTGAAATCATTCTGTAAATTGCACTAGTGAAGCTTCCTCTTCCCATGATACCCAAAGAGGTGCCCAAATCACTCCACAAGCCCAGGCAGCCTCAGAGCTCCCAGGCAGCACAGCATCAGCTGAGAGAACCTGCAGGTCTCTTGAGGGCAGGACAGGCTGCCTACCCTCCCGGTGCTGTGCTTCCTCCTGCTCCTTCCCTCCCGATAACTCAGTCGATGGCTCTCAGGACTGATTCTCCTTGGTCTCCAGTAGCCACCAGCACTCCCGTGCTGGTCCCTGGGTCTCCCTTCCACCTGCCATCGGCTGCACATTCCCCTGGGCTTCTCCGCAGGCATCCAGTGCCCCAGGAAGGATCCAGCCGCCCCCTCGGCACATCCCCCTTGGTTCTGCAGGGCTGGGCACAGAGGGGCGGCGGGCGGGGGGGCTGCTGTTCTCACCTGACCCTGGTCCCCTTCTCGCTGCAGCAAGTGAAGACGGTGCGGTTCCAGAACCACAGCCCTCCGCCGCCCAAGCGGCACAGCCTGCAGCCCTCGCCGCGCCTGCAGCGCGCCAGGACGGAGCCCGAGGTGCTGCTGCCCGAAGCCGGCCTGGGCCCCGAGCTGCTGGTGCTCTACTCGCCCCGGCTCGGCTCCAGCCCCCTGCACCCGCGCCGGGCACTGCACCCCAAGGCGCTGTCGCTGGACCTGTCGGGGCAGCTGACCTTCCCCGTCAAGAAGAGCTACAGCAGCATCTCTGCAAACTGACCGGGTAACCCCCGCCTGCCTCCTCCCCGCACCTGCTCCTCTCCCTCCCGCGCAGGACCCCGGACCCCGCACAGCCTCCACTGCTCCCCGTCTGCGCGACGGGACGGTGCTCTCGTGTCCCCGCACCACCGGCACCCTCGGGACCTGAGAGCCTGAGGCCTCCAGAGCTGTGGGAGCCCCCGAGGGAGCCCCCCTGCCCCAGGGATGCCCAAGAACCGGGAGATGGGGCTCGAGGACTGACGTTCCCCGGTGTCGCTGCCTGTACGGCACAGCAGGATCGGCGGGAGGGGACGGAAGCCTGCGGGTATCAGAGAGTGTTACACTTGTTTTGATCTTCTCAGGGCTGCAGGAAGCCCACAGAAATCTAACAGCGGGTCATTACCTGCCTGTCTCAGGATAAAGAAACCATAAATCAGAGTCAATCAGCTCCTGGCTGACGATTTACGCTGCCTTTGGGGGGGGAGGGGTGTCACTTAGATTTTTTGTTAGGGTAGTTGCTTGCTTGCCTTTCTCTTTGGTTTTAGCCCAGGAATTTTAACTCAGAACAGTCTAAAAGGTGATTTGGAGAGGAAAAAGCCAGTGGGAAGGGCTGTGCCATCACTGCAGTCACCCAAGCTCTGCAGTCAGGGCACTGAATCTTGCTTCTCCTCATTGCTTGGTTTCCTCTGATCACCTGTCAGCTACCTCCTCCCCATGAGCTCCCTCCAACCCCTTCCCACTGCCCACTCACTTGGATGTGGCTGTTGTAAATATCTCCAGTGGGATTCATGGGTTTCACTCTACATTCAGATGCATGAAACATCATCTATGTAACAGAAAGCAGAATTCAGCACTCCCTGTGCCCCAGACCACCCTCTGCCGTGGCAGCACCAGCTCCAGTTTCCAAGCATCTTCCTGTGAATCCCAGGAAAGCCAGCAGAATCAGAGAGTGGTGCTGGCTCACAGCTGTGCCTGCTCTTCAGAAAACCTCTCCACAACAGATTTTGGGTTTCATACTTTGTTTCCATTGCTGGTTTATCCACCAGCAGTTCCCACCCCAGCTGCAGGCACCACCCACCACCCCTCCTGACAGAGGGAGCTGTGCTCCCTCCAAAACTGCCATGAAATCCCATCCTCAGTTACCTGCATACAGACCCAGGGAAGGAACTCCACTGGTCAATGGAAACTCTCTGAGGCCCTGGCATGGACCTCAGAGAAGGACAATTTCTCCTGGAACTAAGCGAAGGGAACGGATAAAATCAGTCACTGGGCCACAACCCCTGGTCCTTCACTCTTCCAGACTTTCTCCGTGGAACAGGAATCTGAGCCTGCCTGTGGGGATTTTCAGGGGCACAACAACCACCAAGGCACAGATAAGTTCTCACCTTGTGCTCTCTGTCAGTATTTCAGCTCCTGCAGAAACACCCTGACAAGCTGAAAACGTGTCGTGCGCCCAGGTATAAAAGGTGGCACCAGCCACAAACAGGAAGGTGAGCACAACTCAGCAATCCCACCTCAGAGACAGCTCAACACCTCAGGGGAGACAAGCTGGTCCTCTGCCGAAGACTACTCTAATCCCTTTAAAGCTGAACCAGAAAGCAGCTGGCTCTATCACCGAGACACGTCCATGTATCCCAGGCATACTTAGAAATAAACAGAATTCCACTCAATATTGGTGCTTTGGTAAAAGAGCAGGCAGCTATTTTGGGATGGATGCCTGTGTTTCACACGCAGGATATTTCAGAGCTGTGATGCTATGGTGATAAGTGCCCTAAATATGTTCAATATATGTAGGGAGACAGAACTAAAAACAAGACGTACTTTATAGCTAAAGGCCCTAATAAGCCTCTTGTCCCCACAGACAGCCCTGCCCACGGGTTTCATGCCACAGCCCACTGAGCAGAGCTGCCAAGTTCTCCTCACCTCCTCCCCAGCAGCACCTCCTCCTCACCTCCTCCCCAGGAGGGAGCTCCTGGACTGTGTCACTTCACCAAGGAACATTCCAAGAAAGAGGGACAAGAACTCAGACCTCTTTCTTCCAAAAGCCCAGGCTAAAGCAGAGCCTGCTGAGCTAATCCAGAGCTAAACTGTCATGATCCCCAAGTGAGGCAGTGCTCAACAACTGGTCCTAATCCATGTGGAGAAACCAGTCACACTGGGAAAGGCATCAACTGTCAAGGAGCAATTCCCCAAGTGCTCTGGGTCAAAACCATCCGTTCTGAAAGAATCACCCCATCCCCCTTAACTCCGCAACCAGAATCACCACACTGGGTTCCTGGCATATCAGCAAACTTCACATTTTTTGTTTCAGCTCTGGGCTGCAACCTGAAGTACACTGCATCTTCCCTGAGGATCTGCTCCAAGCTCTGGGCCTTCAGGCTGCTGTCATCCAAATTTTTTTTAATAGTGTAGCAATGGAAAGGGAGGCATCACATGTTGGCAGGAGGGTGGCAGCTTCTCATGGAGGTGGGCAAGCTCTTCAAGGGTTTCTGTTCTTTTTATATATATTTAACTTCCCTCCTGCCTTCCCACCCTCCAGACTCTCTTCAGCCTGTTTCCTCAGTGAAGAGAGGTCAGACATCAGCATTGGGACCCTGTTTTGTCCTTCCCATATTGGCCAGGAGGGCCCTCTTTCCCCCCTGGATGTCATTCCTCTGTGCTCCCAGTGGTACAGATGGACCAGTCCCATCCCCAGCCCTGCTGACCCTCCAGGCCTGCAGCCTCCTGTGCTGCCCCAGACCATCACAGGGAGCACAGAGCACCAAGGAAACAGCATCAGAAAGGCAAGATGTATTTCTATAATGAAAATACACCATTCTCTGCCAACCCAGACAGCCTGAGCCAGGCTCCAAACACCCCAAGCACCATGTCCATCAGCACAGCTCAGGAATGGAGCTCTGGGAAAAGCATAAAGCAGCACGCAGGGACAGAGGGACCATTAATGAACCTCTCCAACTTCTTCAATTGGGCTTATTTTCTATCTGCTCATTCCTTATGATTAGTTAATGAATTAGAGCCCGAATCAGATCATTCATCAGCTGCTCTAATTGCCTGCCCAGCCTGGCAGAACCCTGGGAGTGCTTTAGCACACAACCTGCCCCCGAGCCTGGGCTGCAGTCCTGCTTCCTGATAAATCATGAGAAGAGGCAGCAGAAGTAAGAAAACAAAGCATTCACTAATTCTCTCCACATCTTCCATGTCGAGGGGGCCTCCCTGCTCTGGGCACAAACACCTTGTCTCGGACACGGGAGGATGCAGAGGAGCCCCCTTTCCAGTCCATCCTGGGGCTGGAGTGTTGGGCCCAGAGGGGACTCACCCTCCACCTGCCACAAGAAAGGTGCCACAAGGATGATATTCAGTCTCAGGAGGGAACTCTGCAAGGAATTCTGCAGAATTGGACTGGCTGCAGCATCGCTGCACACCGCTCTCCTGTTCACTCCCTGCCCAGCAGTTATTGCAGTTCATTTGTGCAATGATGTGTTTGAAGTGCAATCACAGCTCAAGACTTCAGGTTTTCAGGTTTTTTGTCATAAGCCTCAGTACCTGCCCCGTTTACAAAGTAACATTTCCAAATATTCATGAAATCAGTGTTTAGAACCCCGAACTGTCCATGAAGTGATGGGAACTTACCAGTGAGGTCCGTGGGAGCTCCACAGGCCGATCCCTTCATACCTGTTCCCAGTGGGAAGCAATGATGGATCAGAGACCGCAGTGTCAGGCTGGTGAGGACTGCAGGGGTAACGAAAGAAGAAAAAGATCTATTTATACCAAAGTTCCAGCCAAAATATGTTTTAAAGGCAGAAGGGGTCAACAAAAGGAGCTTCCCTGATCCCCTGTGTGACCAAGCAGGGAATTTCACTGAGTGAGTTCTTTCTGCACTGAGCCCAGGGAATGCTCCAATGAAACATTACAACCAGGTCACTATCAGTGAGAAAACAGAAATTACTATTTTTACATGTATAACTTAGAAATAGTAGGATATATAACCTTTGCTTAGTTGGTGATGGGTAGAAGGAATAAATACGTTTAGTTTATTGTTCAGAAACACTTGTATAAATTCAGGGATGCTGAATACTTTTTCCATGAAGTGAAGTTCATTTTTTAAAAAGATTTTTTTTCAACTTAAGGTACTGTTTGGGAGAAAAGTCAATAAACAAGAAAATATTAGTTTCCTGTTTTGTATTAATCCTCAAGCTATTTATTTTGTATTTCTGTAACGAAAAGCAAAGGTTTAAAGATATTTTAAGTTTTGAGAAGTTTATTCATCTAAGTTTATAGCACTAATGTTTAGCTCTGTAGCCTGTAGGTAATTAAATTAATTGGGGCCAACTGGGTTATGGCCCCTCATGCACTGGAAGCCGTGGCAGCTGCAGTGAGTGGCAGCGTGAGGGCACTGCCAGCACAGTTGGGCCACTTGGGGGGAACTGGGGGAGAAACAGGGTGGGGAACTGGGGGAAACACGGGGCTTGGGAAAGCTTTGGGCACCCGCTGCGTGAGGCTCACGAGCCCATGGGGGCTGCTGTGGCACCATTAAAACTTTTTGCATGAAAAAAACCCCCCCATGAATGTTTATTTTCACTTTCTTATTTCAGGTTTCACACCCTCGGGAACAGATGGCGGGGGGGGGGTTACCTGGGTGAGGGGGGGTTACCTGATTCCAAGGCCAGGAATCCAGGCTCTGCCCTCCTGCTCATGGCCAAGTTCCAGCTCAAGCTCCCAATGCTACTTCTGAGGCTCTTTGCCCCCATCAGGAACCGACAAGTAAACAGGACGATGATATTTAGCATTTCTTGCCTCTTTCTTTTCAAAGTGCTTGGAAACCTCTGGCCAAGAGGAGAGCACAGCACTTCACTCTGTCGTAGAAGTGAGTCCATGGGGGCAGGGACAGCCGGGGTGCAGGGGTGGGGCCCTGGGTGCTATTTCCAGTCCCAGCCCTGGGTGATGCCCTGTGGCCCCCCCTGTGCTATCAGCACCTCAGATGAAGAATGAGGGGGTCACGGCTGCCCTCCCAACAGCAGCAA